TAGCAACCAGCTAACCCTCTCTCCTTGCTGGCTCTCCAGCCCAGGGTTCCTGCTTCGCCAAACCAGAAAAGGCCGCACCACTCCAAATCCCTCCCTGTTGCTTCCTGTGTCTCTATCTCTCCTGGATGCCCTCAGATGCTCTGTGATTACTTTCAGTCAACTGGTTGCTAACTCAGCCTCCTGACTCAAGGATAATTTTATTTAATTAATGCAAATGCAAACTTGGGGTTCACAGTGTAATCGAAGTTCCCGCCAACAGACAGATGGCTGAGGCATCACTCAGAGTGAGATTACAGACTCCTCAGTGGTGCCCATTGCCCCCTGCCACAGGGAAGGTTTGTAAACAGCAACCTCCATTCCTCGCCATTCCTAGTACTTGGTTTCTTCTGCACAAAACTGTCTATTATCTTAAACATCCTGGGGCTTTCCTGACCGCACACTTAACTTCAAGTCTGTCACTGTTCCTCACCACTGTTTAGCTCACATGTTCTCATCCCAATATTCAAGGGCCGGAGAACTTCCTTTCCTCTACATTGTCTTTCGCAGGAACCAACAGAAAGGGCCTCACTCTGTTCCCTTCCTCAGTGTCTCGTGGGAATCAGGCCTAGACTTCAGAAAGTAGGACTTCCCAGCTTCCCTGACTCACCAGTGAGCCACCCAAATGCCTATGTCCCTAACACTGTCCCCATGAACTTTGCCTTCTCTCTCTAAGCTAGTCTCACAGAAAAACTCTATGCTTTTATTTATTTATTTATTTTTACATCAGATCACCCACCAGTGAAAGTTCATTCCATTCATTTCATAAATCTTCACAGTATGCAGAGCGCAATGAAGATTACACACAGAAAGTCCCCATAGTCGGTATTCCCTCTCCAGAGGTGTGCTAATTGGAGGGCTAACATTTGACTTCTCCATTTGCAGCAGGGTCCTATCCTCTGCCTGGCAGGTGTGCATGTGCCCTGAGCAAACTCCCAAGTGAGGTGAAGGATGCCTGCTACCCAGGAGCTCTCTCTTCTCGGACAACATTAAAAATACTTTGGCCTTCTTTCTGCTTCTTTAGCAATAAGACTCCTCCAGGTATCACTACACACCCTACCTCTCAGACTGCTGGTGCTCTTGCTGACTCCTCTGTTAGTCACCACAGTGGTTTCTCTGGTGTTTTCTGGGAACCTCAGACAAGCTCAGGACTTTTGTCATTGTCATCTCCTTCCCTTCAGGGCTCTGCTCAAATGTCTGCCTGTCTGCAGGGACACCTTCCTTGGTGAGCACTGTGGAAACCTCAACATCCTCTTTTCCATGAGCCCAGCCTGGAACCCTCATTCTTCCTCATCAGCAAGCGTCACCATCTGACGCAAAACACTTCGCTTACCCCATCCTCCAGCAGAATGGGACTCCGGGGGGACAAAGGCTTTGCTTGTCTTTCAGCTTGTCTGCTTTGTTTCGTTTTGCGTGTCCCTGTGTGTGTGTGTAGATGTATCTCCATGTTTGGAGGCCTGAGAACAATCTTGGGTGTGCTGTTCTTTCCTTAGCAATGCCACCTACCTTATCTTTAGAGACAATCTTTCTCTGGCCCAGAGATCGCCCATTAGGCTAGGCTGGCTGGCTGGTGAGCCCCAGGGCTCCACCTGTCTCTGCCAGTGCTGGGATTACAAGCACAGGCCACCATTCGCAGCTTTTTATGTGGATGCTGAGTATCCAACCCAGGTCTTCATGTCTACATGGCAAACACTTTACCAACCGAGCCATCTCCTTATCTATGTTCAGTTTTCCATCCATCATCCATCCATCCATCTATCCATCCATCCATCCATCCATCATCCATCCATCCATCCATCCACCTATCTATCTATCCATCCATCCATCCATCTATCCTATCTATCATCTATCTATCTATCTATCTATCTATCTATCTATCTTTCTTCTATCTATCCATCCATCTATCTCTCTACCATCTATTATCTAACTAATTTTTTTTTCTGTTCTGTCCTCAGCACCCGAGACTGCTTCTGGCATCTAGAACACAGTCAACAACACATCCCCTGGTGACAGGAGTGGCTGACTGCATGTCAGCCGTGGCACACGTGACTTCTCTTAAGCTTCTTCCTCTTTCATTTCCTTCACTTGCTCACTGTCCTCCGGTTTGGTTAAAAAATTCTTCCCACAGCCACCTGGGTTCAAGTCTCTTTCCTGTCACTACTTTCTGGTTCTGCATGGGGCTTTGGGAGGTTGAAATGAGTTGGTGTTCCCATGAATGGACCAGTACCTGGCACAGGCTTAAGTGTATGTGTGCATGCGTGTGCGTACGTGTGTGTGTGTGTGTGTGTGTGTGTGTGTGTGTGTGGACACGCGTGCACTTGCACACGCATGCTCTGATACCGAGGCTAAAGCAGTGATTTGGGAGGAGGGAGGAAAGGAAACTGAGGTAAGAGTGAGGTAGAGGCAGAGGGTGGGGTATGCAGTGAGTGAAGTCAGAACAATAGACTCTGACAAGCATCAGGGAGAGTCAGGCTACCCATTTCCTTGCCAGAGGAGGCCACTGGCCTAGCTAAACATGTTTAAGATCTGTGTTTGTGGCTTAGGTGTGGCCCTTACAGGAGTAGGAAGGAAGGAGAATGGGAAATGGGTCGTGTTTCCTTTGGCAGAAATATGAGCCCATGTCCCAGTTTTTCAAAGATGGGCAAGGGCAGTGTTTTTGCTTGCATGTGTTTGGTGGTGTAGGTGGCCTCTGTGGAATGCTGTGGTGTTTGGTTTCCTGATTGCTCTCCCCCCCCCCCAAAAAAAAAAAAACAAAAAACAAACTTGACCAGCAGAAAGTAGAACTACACCAGGGGACTGTGACAAACAGCCAGAAGCATGGTTGAGGCTAAGACATGGACAGCAAACCACTGAAGCAGCTGACTAAAAGGCTCATTTAATATTACTTGTTATTTGTCCCACTGTTTTGTTGGCTTATTAGCATTGGGTATGAGCCAGCAGGGAACAAACTTTGGAGGTAGAAAACCATCCTTAACGATGAGCGCCCGTCTCCATCACTTTGCATTGGCAGGCCTCCCAGCAGGCTTATCAACTGCTGATTCATGCATGGGCTGGGGACCAGGCTTCCCAGGACCTGGTTCTGATTTTTGAGCTCTGCCACTCTTCCCTGCAATTATGAGATGGGCCACCCCCTTTCCCAGGCTAAAATTTCATCCCTTGACCCCACTAATGATGCATTTGGGAGGTCCTTGAGCCAGGGGTCTGAAGGACCAAAGACACACTGGAAAAACAAATACCCCCTCCCCACCCCACAAACCTGTGCTCATAAGACATACACCACATAGATTTTTAAGGAGATGATTTGGAGAAGCTTTGGGAAGGAAATAAACAGGGCAAAGTGAGGAAGAGAAACCACAGGTAATTGTTCCCTATGAGAGGGTCAGGAGAGCCATATGCACCAGAGATACTAGGTTTGAAGGAGGCCTGGAAGAGCCTTCCATTAACTAATGTTACAGTGGCTGATTATTAACAAGTCCAAAAAAGAAAACAAGAAACCCCAAACCATCTCAGGACATCATGTCATGCCATACGACAAAATCAAGTTCACATGGATTCAAGAATGAACCCATGTGAAATGAAATCTAGAAAAAAAGAAACTTTGATTTCTGAATGAGAAAACACATTCTGAACTTAAAAGCAAATCAAAACTGCAAGGAAAATTACAGAGTGAGTCATTTAAAGTGGAGATTTCTGTGCACCTGTAATAAAAGCAATACACAATTAAAGACAAAGAGCATGGAAAGAATCTGCAATAACTATGAGGCGATTAATCGGCCGAATGTATGGAAATGTTCATGCAAACATTAAAAAAAAAAAACAACACTGCATGGCATAAAGTGGATGAGGGAATACAGGTACTTCACAAGAGATTGTAGCTAACATGAAAAAAAAAAAAAAAAAAAAACACCTTTCCTAATGCTGCCAAGGAATGCCAAGTAACAACCTCTGTCTTTCTTGCTAAAAACTATAGATAACACTCTTGGTGACATTCCAAATGGCAAGACAGACTTTCTAACATGGTGACTCTGAATTTGAAGTATGTATTTTGACCTAATAACCCACTGTTTTAGCCTTATCTCAAGCCAGTATCTGGAATGTAACCCCTGATTTATACACAGGATGGGTTATCCCAACACTCTGCACAAAACTTGAATTCCCAACATCAGACGTCAGTTATCGCACGTCGGGGTGATGAAGCAGCATGCAGCTCTTAGGAAGGCCAACAGATGTGGTGCGAAAGACGCCCAGGAGCCGGGACTGAGGAATTAAAGTTCCAATGCTGGCAACCTTTGGTATTTCTGGGTGACGGCTACACTAAAATAGTCCCCAAATTATGTGCTGTTTGTGAAAAAGGGACATTTATAAAACAAGCCACCGTAGCCTTAGTAACTCAATAATGAGGGAACCAAAATAATAAGTTTAGAAAAGGGTATGAGTGAAATAATATTCCAGCTACCAAATCTCAGATCCGAGCTTAAAAGACCCGGTAGAGGAAGAAGATACTGAAAATGTGCTTGCTTCAGTTGTCCTGAAGAAAAGAAAGACTCCCCCCTCCCCGTTTTCTCTTCATTCCTTGTTGAACAACTCCTTTGATTTTACAGATTAAAGAAGTATAATGGAAGGTATTAATCATCCCAAATTTAAAAAACAAAAACAAAAACAAAAACCCAAACTCTCAAGATCTGTTCCAAGGGACAGCCTCCAGCCCTCCACCCCCACCGCATGAGTTTGCTTTGGGGGTTGAAAAGGAGTCTGTAACAACACAGAGTCTTAAAGTCTCTTAGACCCTACACTTCCTTTTTAGCCAAGATCACGGACCTTTCCTTGGCATTTTCTGAAGTCTTGGCATCAGTTTAGTTGCTGCTGTAGTGACCTGGTTTTGTCTCTGTCTGTCTGTCTGTCTGTCTGTCTGTCTGTCTGTCTGTCTCTGGAGAACAGCGTGTCCTGGAGCCACAGATATTTACCGGTCCAGGCTGTGCAAAGCCCCGGCTACACGCAGTCAGCCTGAGTGTTTCTAACCATCCACCAGCGTTACCTCCTCCATGGTCTTTGCGGCAGACACAGCGATGCTTGGGAGCATGGGGTGGGACAGAGGTGAAAGTGTAGATCGCACCCCGGGGAGCGGGGAGGCCACCAAGCAAGACTTTTCCCTTTGCGTGTTGCTAGAATCTCAAGCGTGTGAGCCTGGGTTGCTACTTACGAAAACCAAGGCCAGACAGAGCCCACCGAGCACTCATCAAAAGCTGACACAGGAAATCGGCTTCGGGGAGTGGATTCGCTCCTGCGCTCCAGGAACTAGGGCAGAGGAGAAGCTGCAAGCAGCTAGAGCCCGGCCTGCGCAGCGCAGGGCAGCGCAGCGCAGCGGTGTCCAAGTAAACAACTCTCTGAACTTTGGTACTTTAGTGCTGACTGATGTCACTATCAGCTGATTTCACTTTCGTTTTTTTAACTTGCCTGTGTCTTATGACTTTTCAGAAACCAAGAGCGTAAACAACTTCTTGTTGCTGACCGGGACACGTGACCCAAACCACCCGATCAGTGTGCCAGGTGAGGGTCGTGATTGTCCCACACGGTCGCTTCCGAGGGGAGCCTGGACGCCAGCTTCCTGAGCTCCAGGGGATGTGACTCCGATAAACACGACCTGCAATCTTTCTAGGCCCCGACCTTAATCATGTGACCAACCTCCCAGCCAGCGCAGCAGGTGGGACCTGGGTCCCCTCATTCATTTGGAAGGTGACTTTTCTGGGCTGGAAACTTTGCCATTAGCGATGTAACGCTCAACAGTTGTGCAGCAACAGCAACAGTGCGATCCCATTTCGAACTAAAAGAAAAAGAAAGCTTTCAGTTTTGAAATCGCAGGGAGTGTACTCTTGGCCTTCTTTCCTCGGGTGATCGCGGGAACTTTGGAATTGGGCAAGCTTGGGAAAGACAGTAGACCGCTCCCCGATAATGCTAAATTCTTGGGTTTCCCTTTCTTTTGCTATGGCACGCTGCCCCCAACTGGAGTTTTACTTCATCCTAGGGATTCCCTTTGCCTCTGTGCTAGGTTAGATTTCTTATTTTTCTGCTCAAAAGCTTTTCTCCTCCTTGGCTTATTCACTTTTGTTAGAATTAATCTCTGGTGATTTCTTGAGAAACGAGGAACACTAAAGGTAATTTTTTTAAAAGAGTTTGCCAAACTGATATCTTTATTTTATTCTTAATCTTGTTCAAAGTTGAATAAAGCATAGCATTTTTGGTTAAACGAATTTTCCTATACAGTGTTGAGGCTGGATTCCCTGCTCTCTACCTTCCCTATTGTTGGGAAGTTCAAAGCTGGCCTCCTTCCCATTGTCCTTTTAGCCTTTTGCTTTTAAAAGAAAGTGACATTTTAGTGAGGTTTTGGGAAGAAAAAAATAAATGTGCAACCATTTTGCCATTTTCAACTGCAAGTCAAAGTCAACCCCGCCCAGGTCCCATGTTTCTTCCTGTCTTTTGTTGTGACGCAGGGTCTTACCATGTAGCTCAGGCTGGCCTCCAACCCTCAGAAATCCTCCCGCCTTTGGTTCCCAGGAGCTGGGATTACAGACCATGTCTGGCTCCTTCTCCTTTTCCCTTTGTTTTCATTCCAGCAGGGCTAGCTTGCTTGGTTGCTCACTGGTTTTCTGATAATCTGCCTACCCGCTCCATGATTAAGCTTTTAGCTTTTAATAAGCAACTAGCCTCTGGCTGCCAAAGCCTCCATTGCTTAAGCATTATTTTTGTCCTTGAACTTGTCCACACTCTGTTAAACAAGTTTACTTGGGGAGAGTTTCAGAGTTCTTTGCTCTTAAGGTACGCTTTTCCTGAGACCTAGTATCTGAACTACTTCTGTGGAGCTGCACTTAGGGACAGTGTTGCTTCTCTTGACATGGCGGTTGTTAGAGTAGGCAGGTGCTGGTGAGGCAGTAGTCTGGTCTTTTCAGCTTGGTAGTTCGCACATGGAAAGTCTACCTTGTGAAGAAGGTAGCTGGCTCCGGTATTCTTGCCTGCCAATGCTGGGGAAGAGCCTTTGTACTATAGTTGGGTGTGGTGAGGTATTATGATTTATTAAAGCTTGTCTGAGGATTCAGAAAGCAAAGTCAGCCACAAGCCATCGAAGCCAGGTGCACACCTTGCCTCTGTCACTTAGGGAGGGACTGAAGGAGGGGGGGGCAGTCATGGTGGCATACACCCTTGCTGTTACTATGCGGACTCTGTAACTTTTCTGGAATGTACATCTTTCCATTTGTTTTGTTTATTTATTGTGAGTGGGGGGGAGTATACACACACACACCATCACACACACACACCATCATACATATACACACACACACACTCACACACTCACACACACCATCATACACATACACATGCACACTCACACACACTCACACACATACACACCATCATATACACACACACTCACACACACCATCACACACACACACTCACACACACCATCATATGCATACATACACACTCGCACACACACACACACACACACCATCATACACATACACACACTCACACACCATCATATACAGACACACACACACACACTCACCATACACACACACACACACTCACACACACTCACACACACCACCATACACACACACACACTCACTCACACACACACTCACACACACACCATCATATACATACACACACACTCGCACACACATTTACACACACACTCACACCATCATACACACACACACACACACACACACACACACCAAGACTATGGAAGTCAGAGGACACCTTGCAGGAGTTACTCTCTCCCTCCTTGTGGGTTCCAGAGATTCACCTTAGGTCATGAGGCCTGGAAGGAAGCTCCTTTACTAGCTGAGCCCTCTCACTGGACCCTAGAATATATTTTGGGGACAACTTCGGGAGACTTTAGTTCTTCTAAAAATATTTACTTTATTTGTTGTTGTTGTTAAATCGGGAACAAGTAAGGAAACTATCCATTCTAGGAGTGGATCTCTTCCTACTTTTTAAATTTCTGAAAAAAATTCTAAAATTTTAGGTTCATAGCAAAATTGAGATGAACCTATATGTAATCCTGATCACAGGGTCATCTAGGCTTTCTCCTATATTGTCTTCTAGTGTTTAATAGATCTGAATTTGGTCAATGATCCACTTAAGAGTTAATTTTTGTGGTGTGAGGCCTGTGTCTGGATTCCATTTTGTTTGTTGTTTTGTATATGGGTGTTCAGTTGCTCTAGCCCAGCCATGCAGAGAACTGTCTTTGCTCTAATGAGCTGATTTGGTTCTTTTTCCAGAAGTTTTCTGGACTATTTTGTCCCACTGGCCTGTTGATTCATTTCCCAGTATTAATCATTATAGCTATAGAATCTTGAAGTCAATTAATGTCAGTCCCCTGACTTGGGTCTCTTGAAAAATTGTGTGGGCTGTTTCCATACAAGCTCCATACCCAGCTTGTTGATGTCCACAAAGTAATGTGCTACAGTCCTAAGACTGACTCATGGATCAAGTCGTGAAGAGCTAACATCTTAACAGTACTGGGCCTTCCTAGCCATGAACATAAAATATAGCTCCATTTATTTAACTCTCTGATCTCTCCAAGTTTTTACATTTTTTCTTCATGTATATTTTGATGTTTTGCTAGATTTGCACCTATTAATGATCTTGTGATTTTTACCTTCAAATTCTAAATGTTCATTGCTAGGTGCTTATGGTAATTTACTTTTGTATATTAGGTGTGTTTGTAGCATGAATAATAAAAACCCAGAGGCAGATATTGGGGTTCAAGCTGAAGATCAGAAAAGCAAAGCAGCCAGCCACTAGAGAGTTCTTACCTCTAGTAAGGCTCAGACCAAAGTGTGTGTGTGTGTGGGGGGGGGGGGGGGATCCTGTCCTCAGTGTGACTGAAGACTGCCTGAGCTCCTATCTTCTCCCCTCTTATATTCCTATCTAGTGCTGGTATTGAAGGCATGCACCACCACCACCTGGCCTCTGTGGCTAACTAGTGTGGCTGCTGGGATTAAAGGTGTGTGCTACCACTGCCTGGCCAGTATGGGTGACTAGTGTGGCTAGCTTTGCACTCTGATCTTCAGGCAAGCTTTATTTGTTAGTTCATAAACAAAGTATCACCATGTTTCCCCTTTTTGTCTAATATAAGAAAAACTACATACAATAGGTACAATAACTATATATAATATATACAGACAATACATCAGCAATGTAGTTCATTTGTGCTTGACAAATTCCGAGAAAATACTCCATTATCTATCCTGTCTTGATGAGTCCAAAAGGTTGTACCTAATTCACTTTCTATTCTAATTGCATTATCAAATTATCTCTTAATGTCTCTCAACCTTTCGAACTTTACATCTCTGTAGTGAGTTTCTTTTCTGAGTCTGGTAAGCAAGGAAAACTATAACTATCTAGTCTTCAACTCCCTTAGAAGCACGAGAAGGAAATAACCGAGTAAGCAGGAAGTGCAAGCAAGCAACTTTTAAAAAATGTGGGAGGTGACAGAAACAGCTGGCTGCCTGGACAGTCACCCAAAGGTCTTCTGCAACACTGGGGCATCCATCTTCTGCCTACAGGCCTTGAATACTTGGCATGCACTAATGAGTCTTTTATTGCTTTGGCAAAGTACCTTTGAAAAAATAAACCTGTAAGAAGGAAAATATAATTTTCATTCATGATTTTGGAGGCTTTACCCACAACAGAACAAACAAAAAATCTTATGAAAATCAGAGTAACTGAAAAATAACCCTGAGTATAATATGTAACCACAATGCAACAAAGCTTAACAGCAATAGCAAGTGAATCCTGGTAATTACACAAACTCATGGCAATTAAAATAACATACTACCAAGTGATTAATAGATCAAAGAAGAAATCCACAAAGAAAAATGTAAAATTCCCAGAATGAAATGAAAATATAACACACAGAACCTCTGGGACACTTTACAAGCAGTCTTAACAGGAAAAAATTACAGCTCTAAGAACCTACACTAAAAAATCAGAAAAAACACAAATAAATGACTTGATTCATCTCAAGAATTTGGAAAAACAAGAACAAACCAGCTCCAAATCCAGTAGATGGAAAAAATAATAAAAATCTGAGTAGGAATTAAAGGAAAGAAAATAATATGTAAATCAATAAATGTATTAAGTCAAATAATTGGACTTAAAGACAAAAATCATATGATCTTCTCAGTAGGTGCAGAAAAGGTATTTGACCAGCTCCAACATGTCTTCATGATAAAAGTCCTAGAGACAGTAGGACTGGAACACAGCTCAACATGATAAGCCTATATATGACAGACCCACAGCCAGCATCATCCTAAATGGAGAAAAGCCTCACTTGTACCTAGCTGATGGGTGAGCTCGGCATTCGTTAGTGTCTTTTAAATTCTGAGCTGTTCCTTTCTTAGTGTTTACAGCTCTCTGTATTACTCATCCTTACTCACACTGCCTACTTATTCCACTCAAAGTCTTGGCAAATTAATCTACTTACTATAAATTCCTGGGAGATCTGATGGAGTTTTTCCAGAGAAGGGAACATTTGAGTTTAATCTTCAAGGAAAAGTAGAGGCTTTCCAATTGTTCTGGAAGGTTTACATCATAAGATCAGACAGAATGAATGACCTTTATGGAAGAGCGGCATACTTAGAATTTAAATACTATACCATGAAAAACAGAGTGAAAACGATTTACATATATTCTTGCACTCTACATGTCAGGTATTTGTAGCAAATAAGAGATAAGGGGAAGGGTTTTAAGATGGCTCAGTGGGTATAGGCACTGGCTGCCAAGCCTGACCACCTGAGTTCTGTCCCTGTAGCTACATGGTAGGAGAACACACTGTCTTCTGACCTCAATGTGTACCATGGCATACATGACCTAATGGTGCATGAGATTCACACTCCCCCCCCCAACACAAAACAGTAAATAATGCAATAAGACATTCAAAACATGACACAAGGCGGGGGGATTAAAGGGCAAGGATGGTAAATAATTAAGGAAATTCTTCTGCACACCTCAGTCTTCCAAGAAACCAGTTTGTTACTTTGGTTATTCTCACAAAGATATTAAGTTTGTAGTCTCAAACTTTCATATAACTGAAGTTTCAAAGAACAAATGTCAATTTAAATTTTTAGATTTTCATGAAGTTTAGTTTTCCCTGATTTATGAGAACAAGGGCAAGACTTTTGAGAGCCTGTACTCTACCATGGTGTCAAGTTACCAAGGGAAGAATTCCTAGTAAAGAGATTAGGGACTTCTCAGAGAACCCCAATAGCTACCCCCAAATCCAGTCCTTCTTCCTGAGGAAAAACAATTGTTTCCTACCATGTGCAAGGATTGAGGAAATTTATGGTCAAAATCCCCTATAAATAACATTTCTTCTCTGAACATTGCAGTGAGCTCTTACGTCTTTTCATCTACTAGAAACACTGATTGCAGAGCCTGCTTATGTCGCTTAGACCCGTGACGTGTATCTACTGTGCCTCTGTAGACCCGGGCTTGCAGTTTTCTCACTCACCGGCCTTCGTCTTCACTGGCACACTTGTTACCCTTACTCCTTTGCCTGGGCTTCGGGAATCCCTCCTTGTACTCACTGTAGTTTTATTTTTGTGGGAAACTTGGATGTGAACTAGGGCCTCCCCATGTAGTTATCTGTCACAGAGCTACACCCCCACTTTCCCTCCTCTTTGTTTTAGTCTTTCCGTTGGATGGAGGATTTCATTAGGTTGCTGAGACTGCTCTTGAACTCAGGTTGTAGCCCAGGCAAGCCTTGAACTTGTGATCTTCCTGAGTCAGGCTCCTAAGCAGATGGGATTGCATCCCTGCCCCCCATGGCTAACTATTGACCACCTTATGACAAACGTGAAGTGTAGGACTTGCTTTTGAAGTATCCATTTGAATGAAGGACTAGAGGCGGGCACTCACTGACTCTAGGAGAAATGGGACTTCTAATCTTTTACAACTTTGCTTAATTATGAGAGGTAGAATGGCTTCAAAACCATAATATATTTCCATGTAATTGGGTTCCACCTTTGGTTTGTGCAATTAGCATCTTTTAACATGTGCTATCTCATCAATTGGAAGTACACAAATTAGTGCTTTACTATATGTTCTTATTCAGTTATTATTAGTATTTATGTTGCTATTTTTAAATGTTGCCCAGGCTTGCCTTGAATCTCTGGTCCTCCTGCCTCTACCTCCCTCCCAAGTGCTGGGATTACTAGTGTATATGCCCAGCTAGCATGTGTGCTCACAGGAACAATTCTAGGATATTCTTCTATAGGGAGAAATATTGTTTATTTCTCCTGTGCTTTTTCTAGCACACCAACTATATAAAAGAGACTCAAGAAATGATGGTGGCTGCTAATTCATTCATCAAAGCGACTAAAATCATTAATAGCATGTCTTTCTTGAAGTTTTAGTTTTTTGGTGTTATATACATGCATAATTTTGGAAGAAATCAAAAGTTTCAAGCTTTTTCCCCATGTTGATACAAATTAAATATATGTGTTTTTTAACTTTTCTATATTTCCTCTGGAGTTTTAAAATCTCTGAAAGATGTTTCCTTTAAGGAAGATGGGCTATGTAAAATCTGTAGTTGGGTACCCACACATACATGTGTAGAGGGGAGGGAGGGCCAGGGAAGGGGGGGGGTGGCTGATTTTTGCTGTGTCAGCACATCTCCATCAGCCACAGTTCTCAGTCACTTTCAGCTTGGTTAACTGTTGTCCTGGAACTTAGGTGGAAGGTGCGCGAGCCATCACTCTCATTTGGCTTCTCGTTGCTTTTAGTCAGATCAGGAACTATCTGCTCAGAGCTCTTCAGGCTGGATTCTTCAGGCTGAAGACTGTTGCCTTGGACAATATCAGTATCTGTTTTAGAATGTGAGGGAACAGTCTCCTCTTTGCTGCTGGGAAGCATCGCATCTTCAGTGTCTCTGGTCCAGACTTCAGAATGCATTTTCCTCTTCTGAAAACTGCAGAGGGGTGATAAACTTTCAAGTGAGCCCTGGGGCACAGACCGGAGCCATTCTGAGGTATTTGCCACAAGATTCCTTTGGGTTTTAGAAGGGAGACTTTTGGTTGTTGTCCAAGGCATGCTGTATCTTCTTATATTTATGCAAGTAGTTGGAATAAATCTAGAAAAGAAATGAAATGTATGAGTTCTTGCCTTGGGTGTATCTACTTTGTGGTCCTAGGTATACTGTCATAATGCAGATTGTATATTTTCCCTCGGGTGAGCTCACTGGCCCTTAGGACTTTATCCTCATTCTTTATGAAGATGAGCTACATCTTTATCTCTGGTTCTAAGTGTTTGGCTCTACTCCAATCCTGTTCTAGATGTCCAGAGGATGTGGTTATCTGGTATCTTCTTCAGGACTCATTGACTTTATACATCCGGTCTATACCTTGCCAATAAAACGTAGTTTATTCCACTAGACTGGATGCATTGTACTTGGTATAAGATTTTTTAGGAAACCAGTAAGGAGTCAGTTTGAGAGTTTGAGAGATAGACATTCCCTCAAGAGAGGAAGATTTTTAAATCATTACTTGTAGCTACTTACAATCTATTTTTCTTTAGAATTCTATTTAACTGGGAATTTTAGCTATTCTTTTATTAAACTTCTAAGTTATGAAGTAATTGTAGCATCATGCGCACTTGGAAGAAATAATGAGATAGATTGCATATACCCTTTACCTGATCCCTCTGGATGTGACAGTCTGTAAAGTCACGGTGAAGCCGCACAGTGAACATACTGCCACTGGTGTGGACAAGATACAGAACCATGCCCTCATGTTGTCTCTACAGCACCCACCTCTCCTGTCTTGACTTCTCTTTAACTCCTGGAAAACATTAACTTGTCTTCCAAACTATATCATTTTATTATTTCAAGACTGTTATGTAAATGTAACCACACAGTGTGCAACCTTTTGGAATTATTTTTTCTATCCACCCAGTATAATTCTTTTTTTGGGGGGGAGTTCACTGTTGTTCTGTTTCTCCTCTGCCCATTTTTATCATTGTTTTGAGTAGTAGTTAGTGGCATGGCTATATACTACAGTTTAATGATTTATCAGATCCGTGGATCCTTTCCAGTTTATGGGTATTGCAATTAAAGCCGAATAAACATTTGTGTGCAAAATTTTGTGTGAACTTGTTTTCTTTTCACTGGGATTAAATTCCAGGAAAGCAGTTGCCAGTTATATGGTAGTTATATATTTATTTTTCTGTTTTATTTTTGAGAGAGACTCTTTTTATGCTTCTGGGGTGGCCTTGAACTTCCAGTTCTCTGAACTCTTCCCTCTTCAAGGACTTAGGGTTACAGGTTTGTGCTGTCATGCCCAGCCACGAGATACTCAGTGAAGAAACTATCGATTATTTTTAGAGTACTTACCCCATTTTATGTTCCCAACAGTGATACATAAATAATGCAGAGTCTGCATCCTCACCGGCAGATGGTGTCCTTGTTGTCCCATGCTTGTGTCTAGCTATTCTGCTATGCGTGTGGCGACAGCTTACTGTGTATTAACTTTCGTTGCTGATGCTAATACTTCTTGTGGTTGTCTATCACCAGTGTATTGCTTAGTTCAATGCCTCTTTATGTTGCCCATTTTCTAATGACATTTTTCTTTTTCCTGAAGATGTATTTTAAATTACACGTTTGCCTGTGTGTTTGTGTGGGATTGTGTGCCCGTGGGTGCAGCTGCCTGTGGAGGCCAGACCAGGGTGACAGATTCCCTTGGAGCTGGAATTACAGGTGGTGGTAAGCTGGGAACAAACAGGTCATTTGCAAGAACAGTTCATGCTGTTAACCGCTGAGCCTTCCTTTTAACCTTGAAATATTTTTTCTGACTGTTGAATTTGAGGATTCTCTCTCTCTCTCTCTCTCTCTCTCTCTCTCTCTCTCTCTCTCTGTCTATGTATGTAGACGTGTGTATTCGTGTTCATGAGTGTACACGGTATGGAATGTACATGAATTTGTATACATCCATATGGGGGCTAGAAGATGACATTAGGTATCTTCCTCAGTTGCTTTCTATCTTTTTTTTTTCTTTTTTCTTTTAAAGACAAGGACTCTGAAAGTTAGGATCACTCTAGGACTCACCTTCTTATAGACATAGAGGGTCTCTAGGATTTCACGTTGTTATAAAAAGGCACTGCATTTATTCTACTAGAGTAGTTTAATAAAAAGGCACTGCATTTATTCTATTAGAGTACTTTAATTATACAGCAAGCCACAGGCATTCTCCTGTCTTTCCCTCTCCAGCACTAATTAGTACTAATTAGTACTACAGGCATGCAGCAACTACCCAGCTTTTTACTCCAGTGCTGGGAACTGAACTCAGGTCTTTACCCTTGCCTGTGAGCCCTTTGCTGATGAACCATCTCTCTAGCTATGGAGGGTTCTTAATTAATTAAGTTCCTATTTTGTTGGTGTGGTTTCCAAGTAATTTCTCCTATCTTACAGTACTTAAGTTTTTCTTTTTAAAATTATATGTGTATGGGTGTTTTGCCTGCACTTGTTTTTTTTTTTTTGTTGTTGTTTTTGTTTGTTTTGTTTTGTTTTGGTTTTGTTGTTGTTTTTGTTTGTTTTGTTTTGTTTTGGTTTTTGAGACAGGGTTTCTCTGTGTGACTTTGGAGCCTATCCTGGCACTTGCTTTTGTAGACCAGGCTGGCCTTGAACTCACAGAGATCCGCCTGCCTCTGCCTCCTGAGTGCTGGGATTAAAGGAGTGTGTCACCAACGCCTGGCTTTGCCTGCACTTGTTTGTACACACTTCTATGTATGGTGTCTCAGAAGCTAGAAGAGAGCATGCAGTCCATTGGAACTTTAATTACAGATAGTTGTGAGCTGCCATGTGACTGCTGGGAATTGGACCTGGTCCTCTGGAAGACCAGCCAGTGCTCTTAACCATCTCTTTAGCCTTGATGGTAGTGTTTTTAATGAGCTTTTGTATTGCTTTGTGTTTTGGAGACAGAATTATTGTATAGCCCAGGCTGATCTTTTACTCACAGCAATCCTCCTGCTTTACCCTCCCAAATGTTGGGATTACAGGTAGGCATTACCATGCCTGGCTTCTTTTTATTCAGGCCTTTTGCAAAGCAAACATCATTTTAAGTCCAACTTACTTTTTGCTCTTTTATGAATCATATTTTTGGTATTAAGTCTAAGAAATCTTAGCTTAGCCTTAGATTTGAGGATTTTCTATGTTTTTCTAGAAGTTTTGTAGTTTTATGTGGAGTTCATGCTCCATTTTGAATTAATCTATGTATAAGTGATGGATTTAAGCATTTTTGTTTGCTTTTTAAAAAGCAGTTCATCCTATTTGTGTGAATGTACTCAGTTCCACAGACGTGTCTTCTCACCCTCCAATACTATATTGTACTGTTGGTCATCAACAGGCCAATTCCTTTTGCCAAACTGATTTTGACATGTAATGTTTTGTGTACAAATTTTAGATTAGCCTTAATTATGTCTATAACAATTCTATGGAGACTTTGAAGGGCATTGTGTTGAATCTGTGTATCTATGGGAAGAGTTGAGTTATCTTGAGTTTTCCAGTCCATAAACATGTTTATATTTTCCAATTCATTTACATTACATTTTGTTTTCAACGTTCTTGTTATTTTCAGCTCCAAGATCTCTCTCTCTCTCTCACTCTCTCTCTCTCTCTCTCTCTCTCTCTCTCTCTCTCTCTCTCTCTGTGTAAATTTGGAGGTCACATGTTTACTTCTTATAGATAGAAATATAATTATGTTTATATGGCTGTCTTATATTCTGAGACCTAAAAGGACTTTCTTATTTTGAAGAACCAGTTCCTTGAGATACTCTATGTAGAGAATAGCACTGTGAGGAGCAGGTGCCATGTTCTTCCTTTCTTCCCATAGATATGTTTTTCACCCTGGCACAGAGGCGAGGAGAGTAAGTTAAGAGTAGGCTCCATTAAGTTGCATGAGGCCCTCCATTCCTTCTTTTCTGACAGCTGGTTTTTTAATCATAAATATTGACAAGTGTCTGTGACAATTAATAGTGTAATATGGGTTTTCTTCTTTATCTTAAAGAATATTGAGTCATTCTTGAATTTCTGAAATAAGACCCACTGCCAAGAGGTAAATCATAATTCTTTTGAAATTTAGCACGAATTCTATTTGCTAACAGAATTAATGGGACAGAATTTGTTGATTTTCCATTTTTGTTTTCTCTTTGGCTGGTTTTAGTATCATGCCTATAGGAACTTCATAAAATGAACTACAGACTGTTTTCTCATTCTCTGGAAGACATCGTATAGAACTAGTGTCAATTATTCTTTAAATGTTTTATGAAATTGTACTGTGAAATCATATGACCCATGAGATCCCTTTGGGGGTGGTTAAAATTATCAATTTAGTTTCCTTACATACATACACACGAACATGTAACAATGATTAAATGAGGTCTTGAATTTAAGAGGGAGTGGCGTGGGGAGGAGTTGGACTGGGGAGGGTTGGGAATGATGTAAATTCATGGGAAAAAAATCCTTTGAACTAAAAACTGATACCATACTCAGCCACCTGCAGTGTTTTCAATGCACCTTTTTTAATAGCTTTTTGAAAGGCTTGCATGTACTGCGTATGCAGGGTATCATTGTGTAGCTCTGGTCCAGCGCTGTCTTCCTAGCTTGAGGGAAACTCAGAACCTTCCTCCTCCCTTTGTGTCTCTCTTTACTATCTCGCATTTATAACTGCCTTAAAAGTTTCCTTTACATGCTCAGAGTCATCTGAGGCAAGCGACCTGCGTGCTGGACCCAGTTCGGCAGAGGCGGGTTCTGAACAATGAACACTCAGAGGCAGCTCGGCCTCCATCGACCAGCCAGGTAGGCCAGGGGCTGTTTCCGACTCCTGCTTGTCGTCACTGCTCAGAGTTATCTGACTCAAGTGACCTGCGTGCCATACGGAGTTCGGCAGCAACAGCTGGCCCTGTGACAGCTCTGCCTCCAACTGCCAGACCAGTGGGACCCGGCATGCCCGAACACTGCCAACACCCGGGTAACAGTGACACCTCCATCCATGAGAAGAGGACCGACATCAGAGTATTGGATCTGTTTGCATCTACTAGAAGGGAACCGTGGTCCCACACCCACTAGGAGAACAAGAAACA